GGGGAGTTAACACTTCATGCTTCTCGCCTCCTCTTCTGCCTGGCTCTTTTAATTTTTTCTTTCCTCTCTCTCTCCCTCGCGCGCTTTCTCCGTGCAAAGTGCAAGACAGAGGTGCAGCCGGGCTCGAGGAAAGGGAGGGGGTGGGGGAGAGTTGAGTTCTTTCTTGCCTTTTTTTTTTTTAAAAAAAAAGCAAAATAGCGAAGTCCTGGGGAAAGGCGAGGCAGAGAGCAAAAGGGGGGGAGGCCGAGCCGACGAGCAGCCTGAGCTACAGCTCGAAGATGAAAAAAGATTTTAAAGCCTCTGATCCAGCAAGAAGAGTTTAAAGCAATTGCTGAGTTTTATAGTACTTGTGACGTCAGGCCCAGATGGGAAATTGACTGGTACTCTGGGCCAATGAGAGGCGGCGAGAGCGGCCGCGATTAGCATAATAGTATAGAAACAAGGAAACTTTTCGGAGCTGTCAATCAGGGCCCAATCAGCTGACTGTCAGCTGGGACGGGCGAGCTTAACCCTTCCCGCGCCGCCACCTCCCCCGGAGGGAGCCAAGCCGAGCGCAAAGTTTGGTGAAAGAGAGCGAAGAGTTTTCCAGAGGGGCTGCGGGAACCCGGGAGGATAGGGAGGTCGGTTTGATTTACTTTGGAGCTCGAAGAGGCCTGCTTTCCGGAGCCCCAGCTGACCAGCCACTCACTCCGCGGGCATTGGCCTGAATGCCCTCCCCTGCCAGCTCCCCGTCCCCAGGATGGTGAATTAGCCTGGCAGCCTTCCCTCCTCGCTCCACCTTCGGCACCCAGGTGTCTGCCCCGGGGATCTTCCTTCCCCCAGCCTGACTGTGCCCAGAGCTTAAACTTGGCCCCAACTCTTTGTCCCTCTCCCGTTCCCCGCGCGCGAGGGCACAGGGGTCCCGACTGCATGCCTGACGCTACTCCGCCGCGCTCCTGGCCGGTGGTTCGGGCTCCGCGAAGAGAGAATGCCCATTTTATCACCCTCTGTTAAAGGAGGCAGAATAACTTGTTCAGGGGCCATTATGCGCGGGGACCGGCTGCTTGCTGGCGTCGCGTGCCCTTGGGGGGAGCGAACGCCTACGCGAGTTAACTCCGGGAAAGCTCAGAGTCTGGTCAGCCCGGCTCAGCCCTCAGGCTTCCGACTATGGCTGGAGTTTGACCTTTGAGATTCGTTCTCTCTCTTAATAAATAAATAAAAGACTACACCACAGTTAACAAGACAGGCAGACATGGATGCAGCAGCATGGAAAAGTATATAACCAGGTGAGAAAAGCAAGGTGTAGAGCCACACCTACAGTGTAGAACCCCACTGAAGACCATGGCCACACACACACACACACACACACACACACACACACAGGCTTACTCACCCCTATGAAATCTGACCCCTGTTTATCAGGGTCCCGCGCGCCCTTTGCACTTTTATGTTTCAGTAATTATTCCATACTCGATCGTGGCGAGGAACCAGGGGGGGAAACAACACCCCATCGTTCCCCAGCTCCCCTCGAAGGGTTAAATTTTAAACCGAGGTTTCTCGGACAAGCCCGGAAAGCCTGAGTGGGGGTGGGGTGGGGAGCAGCTTCTCCCCCTCCCCATTACAGATGCTAATAATTGTTCCATTTTCTAGATCGATTCTTTTAAAGCTCATGCAAGAAGGAAAAAGAAAAAGGAAAGAAAAGAAAAAGGAAACAACCAACAACTCTGTTTCTAAGATTTTAAAGCGATAGGCAAGTCGGAGAAGCCGAGATTTACTATTTGGGGGAAAGCAAGAGTGCGCGAGCGAACCCAGCGTTTGGAAGACCAGCCCGCCTGCTTGGATGTTGGGACTGTTGATTCTTCCAATTAATGAAATGCATTTGGTGTTAGTGCTATTTTTTTTTTTTTACTTTGTGGGAGGGGGAAACACTAGGAGGGTGCATTAAGAAAAGAAAAAAAATTCTGAAAAGCCTGCAAAAGGATCGAAGAGTGAAAACTATTGTTGGAGCGAGTTGGTTTTTACCTCAACAGCGCCACCTTTCGGCAAAGGTCAGTTGAAATTGATCCGTGTCCAGTTTTGTTGAAGTGAAAAGAAGCTGGTTTCCCAAGGTGGGAGGAGGAAAGAGGCGCAGGAAGTTTGACTGCAGTGGGAGAACCCAACCTTGTAGGTAAGGGGCTGAGGACAGTGCAGGCAGGTGAGGGAGTTATTTTTCCTCCACGGTCCCCCTGGATTGTCCACCAAGGGGACAGGGGACACAGAAGCCTTTTGGAGTGTAATTCTGTCTCAGAGACTTGAGCAAGTGGATCCCATGTAATAGGGCCCCAAGCCCTTTAAAAGTGCCAGGATGGATTTCCAGCGGGCTTTATGGCAATATCAATAGAATTAAAGTTACTTGTAATTCAGTGATAAATGAGATGTCTCTAGTAAGTAAGATTAAGTGCAGCGCTATAAAGTTGTTTATCTGAAAAGTAATTCTCAGAAAACCTGACTTCTGACACTTAGTCATATATTAAGCCTCACGTCTTGAACATTGCACTTCAGAAGGCTGTCACCCACCCCACAGCATACTTTACTATTTATAACGAGACCTTAGGTGTCACTCACTGGCTTCAGACTCCAGATTAGACTTGTGTTAATTTCTCTGATGCTGGCAGCCTTGGTTTCAGCAGACCCCAGGGTTCCTAATGAGAGAATCCCCCAATACAGGTTTGTAGGCGCATCAGAATCCTAAAAGGCCAGTGCTGTTGGTATTTTCCAGAAAAGCACCTTTTCTTTTCATCATTACTTCAGCGAAGTTGTTTATAAGGGTAGTTTTGGTTTTATGGGAATACTTTGTCTATTACCAGTTTGGAGAAGAAAGAGTGACGGTTATGTCAATATTTATGCAACCTAACAGAATTCCTTTGCTTTCCACCCCTTAAACAGTATTTTACCTAGTAATGAAGTTAAGGGATTATAGCTTGTTTATTCAGAGGAAAATCTTAAACTACATAAACATACGATGTCATTTAGCATTGTTCATAGCAATAGTTTTCTAGGCTTTTAAAAAATCATTAGCCACAAATGTCTGAAGTTTATAATTATTCATGTGAAACATGAATTTAAATGTAGTTAGGAAGAATCAATTCTTTTTTTGTTTATAATATTTTTTTTTATCCTTTGGCATCACATTTTTGTTAAAAGCTGTAAGGAATGATCCTTGTCTCTCAAGAAAGTATTTTTGGCCAGGAGCACTGAAACTTCTGCATTCATAAACAACATTTATAAACAAAGTTCACTCATGACGAAGACCATGTGATATAGATTCATGGCCATGCACCTAATTGTTGCAATTATATATCATTTCTAGAAATTAAATGCTCATGTTTGGGCAGCTAAATGTATTATTATCTGCACTTTTTTTATGGTTTATTTCTGTACACTGCTGTTAAGCCATGGTATTTTTCTTTCTCGTATTGCAGAGTCTTTTACAGTCTCTTATTTTCTCTCGAAAAAAAAAGAGAGGACCAGAATTATTTTTTAGATGTGTAGCAGTAGTGCTCTCAGCCTTATAACTGAATTCTCATTTTTGTCCTTTTTACTTTATTATTTAGTGATGCCCAGGGGTGTCCAAACATTTACAGTTCTCCGTTAGTGGCATTTCTTTGACAACAATTGAGCTCTCTTATTTTAATTAGTACTATTCAGGTTTTTGATTCTGTACAATTACAGCAGGCCACACTTCCTTAGACTTCTTTGCTCACATTGTTTGTTTCACTTCTCTCCAAGCCCATGTAATCCAAGTACAATACGAACCCTGTTTCTGTACTGCTTAATATCCCCTTGCTATATATACGCTAGTAATCTCTGTAGAACAATATAGAGTAATTTCGAAACCATGCGTTTGTCATTATTGACCAATTCAAACCAGTAGCATTAAAGTTTCTGAAAGCCGTGAATATTTATAGAAGAATTTTGGGAGGGAGGAGGGCATGAGTCGAATCATGTAGAAGATTGCGAAACCGTAACAGCTAAAACACAACTGTAGATTCGTGTCAGTATATACACAACAACTTTGGACAAAAAGAAGAAAAATCCTGTTCGTGTCCAAATGACAATGATTAAAAGTTAAAAATAATATATATATATTTTTTCCTGATGGTGAGTTACAGCTACTCAGGTATATCATGTTGGAATCTGACATAGATAATCTGAAAAAAACCAAAATGCACCAAGAAGTGTAGTGTCTGTTCTCCTTGTTTCTTCAGGAGCCGATTTTATGGTACAGAACTAACCAGAGTCCGCTCCGTTTCACTGTGAACCTAGCTAAAGTGATTTGAGAAAAGTAACTGGATGATCACATAGACTGTTCTTAGGATGTGAGATACATCCTCGTAACAGTCTTTAGTTAGCAGGGTAAGTAAATCACAAATCACTGTGAGCAGATTCATGGAGGAAAATTAATAGAATCAGGCGAGATAATCTGATAAGGGCAAAATTGCTGAGGAAACAGTCTTGCCTCATATTGGAGAATGTGAAACAACAGCCTGATTACTAGGAGTCGTTATGAATAGGTGAATTATGTGCTAAATAATCATCAGAGTAATTCAGCCTTTATTAATTCTTTTCTCTTTAAGCGATTCACAGTTGTAAGTTAAAGCCGATCTCTCTTTGAAGACACATCTTTTATAATTTTTATTGGAGGTAATTTATTATTTGCATTACCTGTATTTACTTCATAATTGAACATTTTACATTCAAATTTATGTAATGCATTATGCTTGAGAATATATTTCTGCCTGATTAGCATAAATAGTCACTTACCTCATGAATTACTAACAAAGTTTATCTTAAAATATAGGTTTTTTTATTAAGTGGAACACAAACATATGTACAATAAATTCTGATTTTCCGGTGCAGTTAGAGAACGGCTCACATTTGATTTCGGTGAAATGAGGCTACAAGGGGGAGCGGAGTAATCTTGAGAAGGAGGCAAAATGCAAATGAGATAGGTAGGCTTCCTTCAAGGGGGTGTTTTCAGATGGGGGTGTATGCCTGGAGTGGGCAAGGGGCAAGTGCTAAAGGACGGTCTGGGCTCTCCATACACTGTTTAGGTGGCTGACTGGGTGATCTCCACATGGACTGTGGATCCGGAAGAAAACTATAACTCAGCCTCTATACCTTTCTGAAGGACCATGCTAGCAAGTGAATCACATTGACTGGATTTGGGGATTGTTCATTTTATGTGAATTTTATTTGTTGTCTGTTTGCTGGTTTTGGTCTCCTTAGAGTCCCACTGTAGAACACACTGTACATCGTTCAATACAATACTCATTGTTTTGCACTAGAGATGAGACAAACCCAGTTGTTTTTTTAATTTGCTCAGTTCCCTTCCCGTTCTTCACCTTAAAAAGATACCCAATCTAGCCTGGCAGACAGGAGGTGATTAAGAGTTCTATGCAAACATTAACATTTGAATGCAAGCACTTCTAGTTTTATCGCAATAGACGGAAATACTAAATGCCCAGGCCTCTTTCCCTGCCCTGGCCATTCCAAGTCAGCAGATCCCCCTTATTCCCTTTTCCAGGGCATAGCCATTTCCTTAGAGTTTTTTTTTTCCCCTCTCCCTTCAATTAGAGACTGCTTATGATTCCTCCTCCATTGTCATCCCGTTTGATCCGATTCACGGCTTACACTCATGAGGGAATTTGTTTCGAAAGCATTCAACCCTTCAAAGATTTTTATTGTCCTGAAATCAGAACTGATTTAAAAAAAGCAGGGATAAAAAATAAGGGGGACCTGCTATTGGGACATTGTTTATTCAGGCTGCATCTTTTATGTGTGGTAACTCAGAGGACAGGCTGTGGGCGGCGCTAGCTCTGGAAGTTTGGGTCACCCTGGGGATGGGGTGATTCGAAGGGACTGCTCCACAGGCATTTACCAGCCATTCGACCTGGGAAATGGAACCTGGAGTTTTAGAATACTCAGCCCAAACGTAAATACTCTAAATACTCGTGTGATTACCAGGAGGAGTATGTTGATGCCAATGATTGCTGAATATGTGTGTTTCTGAATTGGCTGTGGCCCTGTTTTATATCTTAGTTCTTGGTTGCATGATGGGTTTTGCTGTGCTGTTCTGTTCATTGGACACGCAAGATATGCCCAGTGACACCCTCCCAGCATCATTCATCACGACAGTGTTTCTGCTCGAACAGAGAATTGGGCAAAGCAGCCCTCCTCACAATAAAAAGTAAAGTCACATTTATAGACCTTTCTGGTATTCTTATTTAGTTATTTTATAACAATGAGACATGCTGTCTGTTAAATATAATCATTTGCATAAGACAGAAATAGGAAGCTACCAAACAAAAGAACCACTATTTCCTTCTTCACCCCAAGCCTCTAATCCTGGTCTCAGGTGTTACCATCTATAATAATTGGGGTCCATGCATAAACTTTTTATAGAATGGAATCATGGTATACACACAGCTTTTTTAAAACTTGCGTTCCCAGCAGTAACACATCCACCTTAATATCCCCAAAAAGTGGTTTGGAGCACTCCTCTCTCCTTTGGCAGAACTTATCTAAGAGAATCTCAGATGGGGGAGTTTAGAGATCTTACCTTAACAGCCTCCTTCCTTCTTTACAACATTCTGGCACGTGAGTTGACAGCATGCAGGATCGATTTTACTAGGCCCAGCAGACACCGTGCGTAGGACCCATGAGACTGTCCGGGGCCTAGGAGAACATTTAAATTTCTTTTAAAATCAGAGGAAAAGAAATGAATATAATGCAGCATGTATTATATCTGTCATTATACCAACATAGTCATAAAATGTAATTAAATGTTTATGGAAGAAGGGGTCCACAGAAACCAAAGTGCCTCACAGCTACAAAAGTCCAAGTGCAGTCCCAACAACATGCACTTGATTGCTCCTAGTGACAGGGTACTCACTACCTCTCAATTTTACCTTACACCCTGTCCATCTATCTTCCCACAGTTCTTGAGGTTAATGTTTATGGAAGAAGGGGTCCACAGAAACCAAAGTGCCTCACAGCTACAAAAGTCCAAGTGCAGTCCCAACAACATGCACTTGATTGCTCCCAGTGACAGGGTGCTCACTACCTCTCAAATTTCACCTTACACCCTGTCCATCTTTCTTCCCACAGTTCTTGAGGTGGTCAGCCAAGCTTTATGTTGGTTTGTCTAGTATGAAGTCATATCCCCTTCTTCTATACACAACTCCTGATTTCATACACTCAGAAGGCCATGCGCCCTTATATCCCTCATGCTCTCTGGGGAGTAGAAGACAACCAATGTGATGACACCTCCTCCCTACCTTTCGTATTCCATTCGAAACATAGCCAGTGCCTTTAGCATTTCCACTTACGCCTGAATTTTAAGTGCCTCTGCCTCTCGGTGGCTGACTCCCAGATGTGCCCACCTGGCAGTTGTCCCCCTTGGAGGGTTCAGGTCCTAGAACTGAACCCAGATTCCCGGGTGTGAGCTTCTCAGCACAGCAACTGCCACCCTCCGCCTCCCGGGGCCAAGTCTGGCTGCTGTTCCTGCGGACCATAATTGCAGGAGCCTCGGCAGACACATAACACCGGTGACTCACCGTGCAGGGCCCGAGGCCTTTCCTTCTCACATTTCCCCCTCCTCTATTTGTGTGCTTATGTTTTTTGAGCCCAAGCGCAGAAACGCACAACCATGCCCAGTAGGCTTCATCTCATTAGGTTCAGCCTGGTCCCTGCTTGTGTGAATCTCTGTGGATCTAGAATATGCCATCGACTTGTTTTAATTTGCCTCCCAGCTTTGTGGCAGCTGCAGATGAAATTGATGTGCTTTTTTGTGACTTAACCTCTCGGAAGCAGTTCCCTCCCCTGCAAAATGGGATATTGTCAGGATTAGAGATTGTGCCGGCGATGTGAGGCCACGGAGGAGCTCTGTGAATGGTTCGTGTTTTTCTGAATTTCCTACCCTCTCCCCCAGTTGTTAATAACAGCATCGGAATGGACAAGACCCAATGGGGCCCCAGTGGAGACTGTCCCTCCCCACCCAATCATTTACACAAAATGACTTGCAGGATTATTCAAGTCTCCTAGTGGACATTTAAAATTAAACGGCCTTATAACATCTCTAATCATCAGGGAAATGCACATCAGGATCACAATGAGATACCACTTCACACCTGTTATCATGGCTATCATCAAACAGACAAAAGATAAGTACAGTATTGGTGAGGATGTGGCAAAAAGAGAACCCTTGTACACTGTTGGTAAGAATATAATTTGGGGCAGCTGTTATGGAAAACAGTCTGAAGGTTTCTCAAACACTAAAAATAGAGTTATCCTACAATCAAGAAATCCCACTTCTAGATATACATCCTAGGGAAATGAAACCAGCATCTTGAAGAGATATCTGCTCCCCCATATTCATTGCAGCATTATTCACCATGGCTAGAATCTACGTGTTTGCCCTCGGGTGAGTGGATAAAGAAAATGGGGTGTGATATACACTAAGGAATATTATTCAGCCTTAAGAAATAAGGAAATCCTGGCATGTGTGACAACATGAATGAATCTGGAGGACATCATGCTAAGTGAAATAAACCAGACACAGAAAGACAAATACTATATGAACTCACTTATATGCGGAATCTAAAAAGGTCACACTCATAGATGCAGAGAGTAGAATGGTGGTTACCAAGGACTAGAGGGCTGGGGAACTGGGGAGATATTGGTATAGCACAGTGACTATAGTTACAGCTACTACTGTATTGTTACATTACAGTGACTATAGAATACAATGACTGCTGTACTGTATACCTGAAATTTGCTAAGAGGGTAGATTTTAAGTATTCTTGCTACACCCAAACACACACACACACACACACACAGAAAATGGTAACTATGTGAGGTAATAAGTATTTTAAATTGTGGTGGTCACTTCACAAGGTATATATATACCAAAACATTACATTGTACACCCTACATGTATATAATTTCTATTTGTCAATTATACCCCAATAAAGCTGGAAAAAAACACACCACACACAACAACCTGAATTGGCCTATTGGGTAACTGGGCTCATTTGAAACTAAATTGCTCCAGCTGAATGTCCACACACATCCTTCTAATAAATTCTAAAGCAACTTTACTTTCTTCTGGTGTAGGCAAAGCTCTCTGTCGAAGAGGGCAGATTGCTTAATGGTTTGATGTGTCACCCACCCGGATTTCTGTCAACCTTTGACCTGTCAAAATTGTCCAGAGTTGAAACCTCAGAGACTAATAAAAAATAGACGTTGCCTGGAAAACCCAAGCAGAAGAGCTCTGTCTATGTAGAAAAGTGTCTTTGAGATCTGTTCTTTCTTCCCCGTTTTTCTTTCTTGTTTAGATTGCCAACTTCCCTGCCATTTCCTGATGCCAGTTTTGAAGCTGGGAGGCTCCAAGTCATTTTCTCAAATAGAAAGAGCTCAGAGTTTCCAGTGTCCACCTTTGAATTGCATCTGGTTCCCCCTGGTACCTCGCAAAAGGACCTAAGTGTGCAAGCTTTTGCAGAATCTGCCCGTCATGGCTCCCATCTTGCCCCCTATCAGAGACACCTGGGAATAAGAGCAGAAAAGAGCCTGTGAGTTTATGACCTGCTATCTGTGGTCTTGGTCCAGCCACAGGGCTCGGACCCATCAGGGCTCTGGAGGAATGACGGGGGCTCTTCAGGCAAGCATCACTGACTGTGGGCTCTGGGCTCTGTGAAGGGCTGCTGGTCAGGGATGAGTGATGTGGGTGCTGGTAGATTGTGGTGGGGGAGGGTACCTAGAGAAAACCTATTAATTCACCCTCTGACCTCAGCAAAGTGCTTCAATGTCTTCTTCCAACTCATTTTTTAAAATATATTTTTATTGATTTCAGAGATGAAGGGAGAGAGAGAGATAGAAACATCAATGATGAGAGAGACTCAATGATAGGCTATCTCCTGCACTCCCCACACTGGGGATTGAGCCTGCAACCCGGACTGTGTCCTGGAATTGAACAGCAACCTCCTGGTTCATAGGTCAATGCTCAACCACTGAGCCACACCAGCCAGGCTCCAACTCATTTTTTTTTTCAGGCTGCAAAGGAATTGAACTGCATGAGGAGGTTAGAAAGATTCTGGATTGCATGGAAGGAATGTTCTCAGCCCTTTGAGATTAAACATAGGTAGCTAAACACAGACCAGACACCCATACACACAGACAAAACTGTCATATTGGGTTCTTGCTGGGTCAGAATGGTAAAGTTAGAATATCTTTGGGGTCAGAATGGCGGGGCCAAACATCTCCAGGCCAGAGGATGCTGTGGTTTTAGGTTAATAATGTTTAGAGCCTCTGGTGGCAGAGCAGTGAGGCAGTAAAACATCGATTTTTGAGGGTCATGGGACAAGGAGACATATTCAAGAGATGCTATTGTTTGGCACCAGGCCAACAAGCATGTGAATCCTGCTCCGTCCCAGGTGTGAAACCTGGGGAAGTTGGTTGACCACCCTGGGCCTTGGTCAAAGGTGAAGAGCATTTTTTTTTTTTATCGTGATGAGCATGTACATCAAATGCTTGGCACATGTCACCCTGATAAGTGCTCAAATGAATGAAATCTATTAGCATGTGCCTAAGTCTGAGTATATTCCTCCAACACAGTTTCCATTAATGGGACTAGGGACCCAGAAAATGTTTTCTTTTTTCCTGTGTTTTATGTTCCTGACTTATAGTTGTAGTTACCCTGAACCTTAAGCAGATCTTTTTCTCCATATTCAAGAGATGCTATTGTTTGGCACCAGGCCAACCAGCATGTGAATCCTGCTCCGTCCCAGGCGTGAAACCTGGGCAAGTTGGTTGACCACCCTGGGCCTCAGTCTCCTCCTCGGTCAAAGGTGAAGAGTATTTTTTTTTATCGTGATGAGAATGTACATCAAGTGCTTGGCACATGTCACCCTGATAAGTGCTCAAATGAATGAAATCTATTAGCATGTGCCTAAGTCTGAGTATATTCCTCCAACACAGTTTCCATTAATGGGACTAGGGACCCAGAAAATGTTTTCTTTTTTCCTGTGTTTTATGTTCCTGACTTATAGTTGTAGTTACCCTGAACCTTAAGCAGATCTTTTTCTCCCGAGTTTTGCATAATTTTGCTCACCTGGAACTCACACCCCTCCCCTTCTGCCCTGCCCTCTCCCCTATCTTCTGGCTAATTTTTTATTCTTCTTCAAGTCTTGTATTTCCTCTTAAAAGCTTTACCTGAGCCCTGTGCCCAGTAGCCCCAAAGCCGGCTGGGTGTTCATTCTCTGCACTCACTGCCATGTAGTCCTCATGATACCATATTAGTTCCCCACCTACCCCGCATGAAGCCTGGGCCAACACTTCTCATCTCCCCAACTCCTTTGCCTAATACAGGCAAAGTAGGTACCCAGTGATTGTTCATTCAATGAAAGTGACTAAACACACGCTTGGATTCCCACCTCTTTTTTGAAGTACTAACCCACGCAGAATGTACTGCCAGGTGTCCCAGAAAACATGGCTCCGATAGGAAGCATTGCAACAAGACAATTCTTCCATTCACCTCTCACTAGTCCAATTGGCCCATCCCTCCATTACCAGGATGCTTATCTTGTTCACTAATTAACCTATATCTTCCCAAGATGGAATTGGGTGGAAAACATGGCTGAGATGTGTGGGCCCTGGAACCGCAGTGGCAATCTGTTTGTCTTGCTGGGATGAAATTTTGGATGAATGAAGGGATGCAATGAAATACAGTACCTGGGTAGGCAAGGCGTGCTGTTCACTTTCCTGGCTGCTGCTGCCAAAGAGGGCCCTTTTCAGCCTTGAGTCACAGCTGCCTTAAGGCACATAGATACTATTTTGTAATTGCTAAATAAGAATGCTGGCCTGCCCCCATTTCCACAGGCCCAGATCTTGCTCATTCTTCAAGCCACAGCTCACGTACAGAGTTGCACATGAAGTGTAGCACAGTGACTGGCATCTCATAAGCATTTAATAAAGGTTAGTTGTTAATGCCACGGCTTCCCCAAGCCTGCTCGGGCTCCTGCCTTTCAATTGCGGATCCCTACGGTTGTAGCTTAACCTGTTTTCTGGAACCTTCTGTAGCTTTGGGAAGCAGCACTGTGTAATGGTCAGGCAGAGACAGGTTCAAGGTTAGTTTCTGCTACTTTCTTGCTGTGCTATCTCCTAGGAGGTCTTTATAGGTTCTTTGAGTCTCGGTTGTCAGCGAATAATGGAATGCTATTTAGCCCTCTTTGAGTTGTAGGTGAAAAAATTTTTGACCTAACTAGGCTGAAGCAAAAAGGGAACATATTGGTTCACATGACTAAAATGTGCAGGGACAAAGCTGGTTTCAGGTGTGGCTGGGGACAGGAGCCATATGATGTCATTGGATGTGGCTTCCTTTCACCCATAGTCCCTACACTACATTTTACTGGCTGGACACCAACCTGTAGGGCTCCCTATGGGAGATGATGGTGGGAGCAGCTCCAGTTCTAAATCCCCCCAGGGTAGGTCCAATGGGGTCAGTTTGAGTCCTCAGCAGGACAGATCAAAGTCATGGTTTGGGTCGTTGAATTGCTCTGGGTCATTAGGTTATCCACTCAGGCTTGAACCGATCCCTGTGGCAAAGGATGAAATATGCTGATCGGCTTAGACTTGGACTCCAAAATGGAGTGGACGGGGACCAGGGGACTTCTCTGAGCCTCTTTGAATGATGGGAGAGCCACCGCCCACTTCAGCACCATGGAGCCCCGCCTTCAAATGATAACATAACTAATAGCCTACATGTGCATGCTACTCACCCAGATCTTGCCCTCAGTTTTAACTCATTGATCTTTGCAACAGTCCTCTGAGATATGTGTTGCTGTTATTTGCATTTGACTAAGGAGGAAACTAAGGTACAGAGATGTTATGGGGCTTTTCCAAGGTCACTCAGCTGGTGAGTAGTACAGGTGTGAATCCAGTCATAGTTGCAAAGTCCCTGCTCCCAACCACTTTCCTTTATAATATATAGGGTGTCCCAAAATTCATTCAAGATTTGAATTTTGCGTGAGCATTAACAACAACAACAAATAAAAACCTAATTTACTTGGTTTATTGAATCAGATTCTAATATCTGTTGCCCTTTGATTTCAATCCCTTTAATTTGACAAGCATTACCAAGTACCAATTATGGCCCAGGAGCAGGGACAATGAAGACCAATGAAGACCACAGCTTTGCGTATGTGCCAGCAAAGCTGTGGAGGCCATTTACCCAATGTGCTATTCCATACATAACCCTATACTGTATACTTTATGAATCAATAAAAAATTTACAATTTTACAAATTTGTGCACTCGGGGTGGGGGCGTTCCTCAGCCTAGCCTGCACCTTCTCGCAGTCTGGGAGCCCTCAGGGGATGTCTGACTGATGGCATAGGCCCTGCGGGGAGTGGGCCTAAGCCGTCAGTCAGACATCCTTAGCGCTGCTGTGGAGGCAGGAGAGGCTCCCGCCACTGCTGCCGCTGTGCTCACCAGCCGTGAGCCTGGCTCAGCAGTGCTCTCCTAGTGGGAGTGCACTGACCACCAGGGGGCAGACACTCAATGCAGGAGCTGCCCCCTGGTGGTCAGTGCATGTCATAGAGACCTGTCGTTCTGCCATTTTATCAATTTGCATATTAGCCTTTTATTATATAGAATTGTAAGGGGGAGACAGACAAGAAATTAATAGACAAATCAAGATATACTATAAAGTAATGTAATGTAGTTTAGTCTGGTATAATGTAATATGATCCTATATAATAAAAGACTAATATGCAAATTGTCCCCTCGACTGGGAGTTCAACCAGGGGGTGGGGCTGTCCGGCCAACTGCCTGAGGCCCCTCCCCCTGGCCGGCCCCACCCCCGATTGGCCAGACACCACCTGTGCATGAATTCATGCACCGGGGCCTCTAGTATAATAAATAACATAACTATAATATAGCATTGTATATCATCATATCATATATCATATGGTATCATATCACATGGTATCATATTACATGACAGGCCTTGGTAAGCGGCAGCCCATCTTTGTATCCATCTCTATAACATTCATCACCAGCATGAGCATCAGAGGTGTTGAATGAGTGTTGGCCAGCTGAATCATTTTATGTGTACCGTGTGAAGCCTTTGATCAGATAATCCTGTTTCTGCCATGGCAACATCATCATCTTACATTCCTATGTTTGTTTCAGTCACACGAGAAGAACAAATGATTAAAAGGAGAAGACTGAGGAAAGATCAGGTGAGCTGAAATTTCTAGACCTCCAGCTCTCTGGCTGCAAGATTTGAATTTTGCGTGAGCATTAACAACAACAACAACAAAAAATAAAAGCCTAATTTTACTTGGTTTATTGAATCAGATTCTAATATCTGTTGCCCTTTGATTTCAATCCCTTTAATTTGACAAGCATTACCAAGTACCAATTATGGCCCAGGAGCAGGGACAATGAAGACCAATGAAGACCACAGCTTTGCGTATGTGCCAGCAAAGCTGTGGAGGCCATTTACCCAATGTGCTATTCCATACATAACCCTATACTGTATACTTTATGAATCAATAAAAAATTTACAATTTTACAAATTTGTGCACTCGGGGTGGGGGCGTTCCTCAGCCTAGCCTGCACCTTCTCGCAGTCTGGGAGCCCTCAGGGGATGTCTGACTGATGGCATAGGCCCTGCGGGGAGTGGGCCTAAGCCGTCAGTCAGACATCCTTAGCGCTGCTGTGGAGGCAGGAGAGGCTCCCGCCACTGCTGCCGCTGTGCTCACCAGCCGTGAGCCTGGCTCAGCAGTGCTCTCCTAGTGGGAGTGCACTGACCACCAGGGGGCAGACACTCAATGCAGGAGCTGCCCCCTGGTGGTCAGTGCATGTCATAGAGACCTGTCGTTCTGCCATTTTATCAATTTGCATATTAGCCTTTTATTATATAGAATTGTAAAGGGGAGACAGACAAGAAATTAATAGACAAATCAAGATATACTATAAAGTAATATAATGTAGTTTAGTCTGGTATAATGTAATATAATCCTATATAATAAAAGACTAATATGCAAATTTTCCCCTCGACTGGGAGTTCAACCAGGGGGTGGGGCTGTCCGGCCAACTGCCTGAGGCCCCTCCCCCTGGCCGGCCCCACCCCCGATTGGCCAGACACCACCTGCACATGAATTCATGCACCGGGGCCTCTAGTATAATAAATAACATAACTATAATATAGCATTGTATATCATCATATCATATATCATATGGTATCATATCACATGGTATCATATTACATGACAGGCCTTGGTAAGCGGCAGCCCATCTTTGTATCCATCTCTATAACATTCATCACCAGCATGAGCATCAGAGGTGTTGAATGAGTGTTGGCCAGCTGAATCATTTTATGTGTACCGTGTGAAGCCTTTGATCAGATAATCCTGTTTCTGCCATGGCAACATCATCATCTTACATTCCTATGTTTGTTTCAGTCACACGAGAAGAACAAATGATTAAAAGGAGAAGACTGAGGAAAGATCAGGTGAGCTGAAATTTCTAGACCTCCAGCTCTCTGGCTTCCAATAGTGGTGGGAACTTAAAAATGTCACGCTGCCCCTGTGTCCCTAAGACCATCCTGTTGGACACTCTCAGTGTAAAAGATCCAAGGAAATCTGTTTTATAGACAGGTGGAAAAGGAGTTAAATGGCAAATTCGAATGATACAGAGCTTTCGTGACTTAATCTTTTTCCCATTCTTTTAAAAAAATGCCTTTTCTTTTTTGAAATTTCTGTGACTATCCCTAAATTTGTGTTTGCAACACACAAATATGCATTGGTCTGTTTGCAGGTTGGTTTTGAGTGTTAAGATGCCCAGGGTGTGCTGAGAAGTGATCATTTTGTGTTTTATTTAATGATAAGCACGTCCCCTCTCTTGACCTTCTCACAGCGTAGATATGAAGGCAAATGAAAACCCTGGGATCTCCTCACTTCATTCCTGCCTCCAACCTTATAGCCTAGTATTATGAGAGGCATTTAATCAAAGCATAGAAACAATTATAATAACACCCTGAAATTACATTCACATCTGCAATCGGAATTGCTAACATCTCGCCTCCCTCTACCATGCTTCTGTCGTCTGATTTCAGTTCCCTTGTGGTGACTAAGAGTCTAGTCATTAATATCACACCCACCAACTTTATTGGAATTTACTGTCAGAAAGGTCCATTTCCAGCAACTCCCTGAGCTGAATGGAGCTGCTGTGCCAGATTTGCTCATCCATTGCACAAGTCCATGCATTTTCTTTGTACTGGAATCACTTCCCAAACTTGGGCACCAACATGAGATTGCTATCCATTTTCTATGTGACAGGGTGGAAAGACTTGGCTTAAAGTCATATGCTATCATAATTCGACCGACTACTAGAACATCATTGCCCACATTCTTACCTTTTCAACAACACTGGGATGATTTAGTAGTCATGTAATAATAACAATGGCAATAACAACAACAACAACAACAATAAAACTACCACTCGTTTACAGGAACTGCTGGGAAGAGACACATAATGCAGACCCCACAAAGAACTAGTAATGAAAATCTGGAAAATGGGAAATTCTATAAGACAAACATTCCAGTTTCTTCCACAATTAAATGACCTGTAAAAGACAGGGGGTGAGGGGAGACTAGTATAGATTAAAACAGACTTTCTTTCTTTCTTTCTTTCTTTCTTTCTTTCTTTCTTTCTTTCTTTCTTTCTTTCCTTCCTTCTTTTTCTTTCTTTCTTTCTTTCTCTTTCTTTCTTTCTTTCTTTTCTTTCTTTCTTTCTTTCTTTCTTCTTTCTTTCTTTCCTTTCTTTCTTTCTTTCTTTCTCCCTCTCTTTCTTTCTTTTCTCTTTCTTCTTTTCTTTCTTTCGGATCTCCTGGTTCATAGGTCGACTTTCAACCACTGAGCAACATTGGCTGGGCCAGACCTTCTTTTAGAAGGTGGCTCAAATCAGAGAGGCAGCAGTAGAACAGTGAGAGAGCTGGCTTGAGAGAGAGGCAGGGGCAGATGCTGCCCACCCTGCATTTCCTTTCCCACACCCCTCCTTTCACCCTGGCTGACTTCACCTATGAGACCCCCTTCCTGGGGAGGCCTTCTTTGACTGCTTCTCCCTAATCCAAGAGGGGTGGTTTGTTTTCACTCTGTGCTCAAAGGGCCCCTGGCATGAATTTTGTGACTGAACATTGCAATTGTATATTTTTTAATGAAAAAAAATTGAGGTGATTGTAGTTCTGCCTGCAGTCGAAAGGAATAATATGCAACATTATTGCATGTGTAGGTTCGAGTGACCATCACCATAGTCAAGATACAGATCATTTCCACCTTGAGAACCCCTCCTGCTAGCCTTTGTAATTGCCTTTGTACTCATCTATTTCCCTCAGGATTCTGTGAGCACCATAAGCCAGGACATAAACTATGTCTTGGTTCAGGCTAACTCAAACCAGCACATGGCTTCTAGGTGGTCCCACGTGAAATGTCTGTGTACTAAATTCTATCACAGTAAGAAAATGGGAATTAAGACTACTATCTAGAAAGGCTTTGGCCAAGAAGGAGAGAAAACATCCCAAGGCACGTAGTACTAAAGAGATACAATATGTTAGGACCTTTTCCTCTGTAGAGGATTGTGAAGATCTCAGTGGTATCTGGGGCTTTGTATTGCCTTAAGAAATCACCTGCTCAGGTGACTCCAAGAGAGACTTGCACCAAGGGAGGGACCAATTTCTCTGCGAAAGGAAGCATGAACACCAGACTTTTATTTTCTGGTTCTAATTTGGTTCCTTTGTTGTTGTTTGTGTGTGCATATGTGTGTGTATGTGTGCGTGTGTGTTATGTGTGTGTATGTGTGTGTATGTGTGCGTGTGTGTTTTAAATTTATTTTTATTGATTCAGAGAGGAAGGGAGAGGAAGAGAGAGATAGAAACATCAATGATAAGAGAGAATCATGGATCAGCTGCCTCCTGCACACCCCCCACTGGGGATTGGGCCCACACCCCAGACATGTGCCCTGACTGGGAAGTGAACCGTGACCTTCTGGTTCATAGGTCAACGCTCAACCACTAAGCCACACTGGTCGGACATATTTGGTTCCTTTGGCATCATCTTTCCATGAGTTTAATGCACTTGCAAATTATGGACTCATGGTGATTCAGGCCTGGGGACATATGAAGCCTGGTGGGCAAGTGACTTGAGCAAGGGATTGGAGGGACCCAGCAGGAGTCTTAGGCTTTGTCTTCTCTACACTATCTTATGACAGGCTTGGGAGAAGGCAAGTTTTCTTTCATTGGTCATAGCCTCACTCTTGGGTTTCATCTTACTAACGGCAGAATGTTCAGAAAATGTCTTGGAATAGTAGGGATCCTTAAATTATCCCAAGTCCCTAGTCATGTGCTTCACTGATGCATGAAGACACCTGTGAGGCTTCTGAATTCCTAGGTTTTAATGAATGAACAAATATCAAAGTGTGTCAGATGACTCTGAGTTCCATTTAAGCTCAAATACTAAAAGGGCAGTGACTAGTTGACCCATTATTAAGATCACCAAGTATCAGATCCTCACTTATGGAAAGTTTGTTTACATCAGGCTTTGTGCTATTTGGGTAGATTAAGGGATAATAATCCTGTCGGTGGTGACCAGTCGACCCATTATTAAGATCACCAAGTATCAGATCCTCACTTATGGAAAGTTTGTTTACATCAGGCTTTGTGCTATTTGGGTAGATTAAGGGATAAATAATCCTGTCACTCATTCATATAGCATTTCATCTGCCTGTCCATCCACCCATGTATCCATCCATCCATCCATTTTTACGTCCAGAGTGCAACCCTTTCTTAGGAGCCCCGTGGGACATGTGAAAGGCCACTGAGGCAATAGTAGCTTTTTTTTTTTTACTTGTTTGCAATATTTTCTAGGCACAAATATATCTTTGCCTCTTAGACACAACAAGAACACCAACCCTTCAGAATATATGTGAATAGCTTATTGGTGACAAAAAGGACCAATGTTCTTTTTCCTCCTGTTTTAAGTAAGAATAAACTTGAGCATCTGAGCAGAAAAGGAAGTGATTGTTGTGGTTATGTCCCCTCTCCCCAGCACTTAATATATTTTATGTTTTGGTTTCCCAGAAGTGAAAATCTCATGGAATGTTATTTTTCCCTCACTGGTATCTATTATATCTCCAGGGGAATCTACTACACATAAAATGCACTGTGATTATTCAGTTCCACCTGGAGAATAAAATACCTTCCAACAGCTTCAGTGAGCCTTCACTAGGCTTCACCTTGATGGAGCACACCTCACAGACAGAAGTCCACACCAATCGGCCTAGTCTCATTGGTCCCCCTATTGTGAGAGCCAACTGATTTGGATGGAATTGAATATTCTCTTGAAGGTTCAAAGGTGTGTTTTCCTGAACCCAGTTTAGAAACCAAGGTACTCACCTAAAACAACAGAAGGTGCCATGTGATGTACGCTCCCATTATTCTGCACTGTACTAACCTTCCCTAGCACTTAGAAATAAAATATAACTGGCTGGCCCCTAATTTCTGCAAACACAGTGATATATTCTCATGATAAGTGCCCTTATTGCAAAATGCTTTTCTATATAGATTTTGCACAAATTCTTACATTATGCAACCAGAAGTTGGGAAGTGAAAAGGTCTACAAAACCAATGAAAGGGAAAGAGAAAAGATACAGGGAAAAATAAAGCCAGACTTATAATTGTGCCCATGTTGGTGTTTTACAGGAACAGAGAGCAGAGACACTATGATGGGTGTGAGAAAAAGTGACAGAGTTGGATCAGGGCACTGTGCTGTGTTGAAGATTACTGCTATGAAGGTATTACAGCCATATGTCTTTATATATGTTACTAGAGGCCTAGAGCATGAAATTTGTGCATGGGGGGTGGGGTCCCTCAGCCTGGCCTGCACCCTCTCGCAATCCGGGACCAGTGGCTCCCAACTGCTTGCCTGCCTGCCTGCCTGATCTCCCCAAACCACTTGCCTGCCTGCCTGATTGCTCTTAACTGCCTCTGCCTGCCTGTCTGATGCCCCTAACTGCTCACCTGCCTGCATGATCACCCCTAACCACCTCTGCCTCGGCCCCCACACCCAAGACGCAGGCTTCCCTCCTTTGGCCAGCCACAGGCAACTGGGACCCGGGCTTCCCTCCCTCTGGCCAGCTGCAGGCACCCGGGACCTGGGGCTAGCTTCGCCCGGGCAGGCACCCAGGACCCAGACTGCGGGCAGCTTCCCTGCCTCCAGGGCAGTTTCCCCCAGGGGCCAGGCCCAGGCTTTATCCCAAAGGACATCCAGAAGACCTCTGGTCAATCTGGTCTAATTAGCATATTACCCTTTTATTAGTATAGATGGGGTTAAGGAATTATTGACAACATATTCAGAGACAGGACTTTTTTCACTGCTCTAAGGGCGTCGGCACTTACATGTTGTCTTAGACCCTGATGGATAGGCTGTTCAGGATAGACTGGGAAAGTCATTTTGGCTCTCTAGGCTTCTGTTCTTTCTAAAACGTGGGAGCTATCTCAAAGGACCTAGTCTACAAATCTATATGTGTGTCCATATTTCTCATCTCCATTTCTAAGCACATGGCAGTGTCCCCAGGCTGTGCCTGGCACATTGTAGCCAGAAGGGATTCCTGCTTTCCATCTTATTTTATCTGGGGAGGCCTTGGGAGGTATCAATATACCTGTTTGAGTATCATCTCTGTTAGTGTCAATCAGATTACCCACCAAGAGGCATTTTATCACTAAAGCTCAGAGCTCCTTTGAACAGTGCTTTGGAATTTCCATTGGCAAAGAAGAGTCTTGATCAAGTCACAATAGGGTTGGCAGGACCAGGACGAGATCCTGGCTCTGCTGACTTCTGGCCACAAGACTGCACGGCCTCTCTTCTGTACCTCCCTGCCACGTCCTTTGCTTAGGTCTGACATGGGCTCCCCACGTCTCTGGGAGGCTCCACTACAGCTCAGCTCTGTGAAGTCTGGCACCTGCCCTCAATCAATAGGGCTACTGCTATTATTACTAATCATCGGAGAAAATTCATAGAAATGTGTGACTCAGCTTGTTTTGCTTCTGAGAACCAGGGGTTAATGCTTGTTCCTTGGGGGAAGTTCTGTGGCTCAGAAAGAGAGAAACAAAATCATATATACCAAAGTGACCTTTCACCCCAGCTGTTGTGCAGAGCATGAAACGAACGAGCCAGGTCCTAATCGGGTTGGAAACTGAGAGCAATGGGAACAGTCGCTCTGCGAAGATGACATTCGGCAGGGTCCCCAGTTTATTCTCTCAGTGACCTCTACATTAAATGTGTCCAGTTTGCTGGTCACAAGCTGGTTTTTCAGATGGGATGGCTTGGCAGCTCCTTCCTGGCCTTGAAGCCAGCAGCCAGGAAGTCGGGAGGGGCCCTGGGATGGTGAGGGAGACCACAGCTTGGGTTCTCCCTTGACGCACCCACCCTGGCTGTGCCCAAGCAGGAAGAAAAAAAAAATCACAGACCCACTGTCGGTCAACCATGATGGGCCACCTGCCAAGGAGGTGGGGGCAGCAGGGCCTGGGAAAGGAGGACACGTGAGGCAGAAGCCTCCCCAGGCGCCGAGTCACCCAGAGGGCTGCGGGGGAGTGTTGCGGGGTGAGGAGCCTGGGCTCAGACCAGCCTGTGGTGAACATCCTCCCACACCAAGGAGCCAAGATGACTGCACAGAGCGAGGGCGGGGGCGCAGAGTGTGGGGAGGAGGTGCAGGCTTGGGAAACAACACCCGCCTCCTCTCTGTCTCCCCTGATGGGAAGCCAGGGCCAGTGGAGGGGGCTGGTGGTGGGCATGGTGCCACCAAAACCACACGGCTTTTGGTTGATTGGCCTTGAGGTCTAACCTAAGCCTGAGACATCCTAAGAGAATAACCCCAGGCCCTTTAATTCTAGGGGCGACTTCAGATGATCTATGAATATAGGGAAAGAAAATAATGAACCAAGTAACTTATTTTACTTTCTAATACCCCCAAAGTATGGGTTATAGAGACACACTGCAAAAGACCATGTGCATCTTAAGAACATGCCCAACTTAATAATCTTCATAACGTGCCCACCTTCATATCACCCTGTGAATCCTTCTATGACAGAGTTTATCATTGACTATTATTTGTCTTTTTCTTCATATACCTGCCAGCTTTTTGAGGTCAGGGATGGAATCTTATGCTCATATCTGCAAATGAGTGTAGTAGCAACTGGTTTATTATGTGAATAAAGGAATGGATGAATGAAAAGTCAATAACTTTGGAAATTAGATATCGCTATGAATATAAGAGAGTGTGTTTCTTGGGTGGCCCCTGAGGCCAGAGGGGATTTCCTTGTCTCAGGATCCCATGAGTAAAGTCGACTTCTGCCCCAACCTTGAACATTCCCATGAAGACAAAAGCATGTTCATTATTTGCCACTACAATTTAAAGCAGATTAAAATGCATCCTCCAAAAAAAATGAGAAGAGGACTTGCTATCTAATGTTAATGTTAAGCGTTTGTGGGTCTTTTTTTTTTTTTCTATCTTCATTTCTCATCAGCACAAGAGAATGTTCTTTTTGTAATTGACTTTACCAGAAGTCACACTCGCAGGTGTACGAAAGCTAAGATAAGTTTCTAAGTAAAGGAAGGCCCGTAGCCCTCTCTCTGTACATTGATTGTGACCTGGGGAAGCCAAATGCATTAAAATGCACCACATCCTTTTCGATGAAAGACCTGCCACATTTTCAATACTTTGTTGACCTGAGCCCTAAGCATCCATGGGGTTAAAGGTTGTCTGGTGATGAAGAGGAAAAAGGTCATCAAGAAGTAGGTTTTTTGATTTCTCTAAAAAAGCAAATCCCCTACCTCAAGGTACCCCCCACCCTTTTACACTCGATGGGTGAAAAGGAAGAGGTAGATTTTGAGGAAATCATCATGAGATTATTCAAGATGATGGCAGAAAGGAATCGTCACAAGCAGCGGCAGCAATATCAGTTGAGATACCAGGAGGCAGCCTCCATTGCCCTCTTTCCCTCCCTCACACGATATCAGTCTCCAAAGTCCTTGGGTCCCATCTTGAATACACCCTCAGTCCATCCTCACCCATTTTTGTGCATCCATCACCTGTTATTAAAAAACATCTTTATGGAGATTTAATTCAGAAAATCAACAATTCAACCATTGAAAGTGTGCAATTTCATGTTTTTTTAAAACATACACAAATTTTGCAACCATCATCACTCTAATTCCAGAGCATTTTCATCCCTTCCCCCACAAAAAACTGTACCCAGTTGCAGACACTCTTCATTTACCCTCTCCCAGTAACCACCAATCTACTTTCTGTGTCTATAGATTTGCCAATTCTGAATATTTCCTATCAATGGATCATTGTGTCTGGCTTCTTTCACTTAGCCTAATGTGTTTAACCCTTTGCGGTCCAATTTTATTTTTGGAATTCAAACAGTCTGGTCCAAATTAATTGACAGGATTGAATGTTGAACCGGTTTGCGGTGTCGACCTCAGCCTCGACGTTGGACCTGCTCCTAGCACCTGGTCTGTCGAGTCAGCCTCGACGTTGGACTGAAAAGGGTTAAAGTTCATCCATGTTGTAGCATGCATCAGTACTCAATTCCTTTTTTTTTTTTTAATATATTTTATTGATTTTTTACAGAGAGGAAGGGAGAGAGATAGAGAGTTAGAAACATCGATGAGAGAGAAACATCGATCAGCTGCCTCCTGCACATCTCCCACTGGGGATGTGCCCGCAACCCAGGTACATGCCCTTGACTGGAATCGAACCCGGGACCCTTCAGTCCGCAGGCCAACGCTCTATCCACTGAGCCAAACCGGTTTCGGCCTCAATTCCTTTTTCATGCCTGGGTAATATTCCCTCAGATAGATGCACCACATTTTGTTTATTCATTCATCTGTTGATGGTCGTCTAAAGTTACCTCCACCTTTTGGCCATTAGAAATGGTACTGCATGAACAGCTGTGTACAAGTTGTTGGGTAGACGTGTATTTTCATTTGTCTTGGGTATATACCTAGGAGCAGACTGGCTGGGTCGTCTGATAACACAATGTTTAGTTGTTTGAGGAACTGCCTGTTTTCCACCTTTTCATTTTTGTCCCCATCCAAGACCACACAATGGCCTCTTGAGTGTTTTCTTCCTGCCAGGACTCCTCACCACAGCATCAGGGAGCAAAGTCTACCACCCAACAGACACCTTTAGCACTTGCATCGTGAACAACATGGGCAAAGTACTTCAAGCATGAGCTGGGTCACGTCCCTTGTTACGCACTGCTCGCAATAGTTCATTGCACCTAGAATAAGAGCGCAGCTCCTGCCAGCGGTTCTCAACCTGTGGGTCGCGAACAATGAAAATACATCCTGCACATCAGATATTTACATTATGATTCATAACAGTAGCAAAATTACAGTTATGAAGTAGCAACGAAAATAATTTTATGGTTGGGGGTCACCACAACATGAGGAACTGTATTAAAGGGTTGCGGCATTAGGAAGGTTGAGAACCACTGGCTCTAGAAGGTCTGGAAAGGTCTCCTCTGCTTCTCGCTCCCTCTCAATGGTTTCCAGTCACTCTGGCCTTCCTTGCACACTGGCTCTCTCCTGCATTGAGCCTTTGCACATGGCCTTTATCTTGTGTCTCCTGCCTGGATTAGAAAATGCCATTCTTCACAAAGCTGGCCAAATGAATGAGCAAGTGCACTGGATTCAATATATTAACATGTTCAAGTGCAGCTGGTTGATGGCAGAGTCCCCACCAGATTCTCATGTCAAGAGCTTTTTGTTTCTTTTGAATCTCTCCTAGCTGATCACGTAATATATGAACCTGTATTGCAGACCCTCTCCCACCTCTGTACCAGGTTTTCTCGACCTCAGCATTACTGACATTGAGGATTATAATTTTTTTGTGGTGGATGCTATCTTGTGAATTGTAGGACATATTTATGCATCCCTGGTCTCCACCCACCGGATGCCAGCAGCATCCCCCTACCTCCTCAGTGTGACAACCAGAAATATATCCAGACATGCCAAAGTCCTTTGGGGATGGGGGGAGAAAATCATCTAGTTGGGGACCACTGTGTATGGCTATGGTCTTGTTCAATGAATATTGGTGCTGAAAATAGCCAAGGGCATTTCCAGTCCCTGCTCATCAGAGAAAGCCTTTTACCCAGTTTCCCTTCAATAAGGTAGGAAATAAGACCCATAAGAATTTAGAAGACATTTTAACAAGAAAGTTGGAATCCAAAACATTCATGATAGAGCTGCAGGTAGTAAGAATATTTGATTTGCCAAATTCCTCATTCTTCCAGAATTTGGGTCAATATCAACTTATACTGGGATTCCCAGCCATCCTGGGTCAGGCCTGTAAGTATGATCTTGCCCCTTAGGGAGGCATTTCTACAAAGTATTTTTTCTGGGTTGCTTGGCTCATTCTTCCCAAAAGATCAGAACTTTAGAGTAGCCATGGTAACAGGATGGGGGAACACAGGATCAGAGAAAGAGACCCTATGATAAGGGTTCATTTGTAAGTGCTTCGCCTTAATGTCAACAACTTCACCTCCTATAGCCTTCATCTTAGGCTTGAGTCTAAGAAGCAGAAATTAACACAATTGCTCTGAGCCTTTCCGATTCAGGATGCTTCCCAGCTCCTGCAGTGCTGTTCAAACTTGGCGGGGAGCGACCTGAGGCCCCATTAGTTACCCCCGTGAAAAAAGGAGTCATCTTAGCTGGAGATGTCCAAACACAAGATTTCATCCTTTTCGCCTGGGCAGAATTAGTAAATGTGCATGATGTGTATTAAGTATTTTATTAAAATCCAATGCTAGAACATTTCCAGGGAGTTATAAAAACTCTTTGGAGGAAGTCTGGAAGCTGGGGTGCTTGTACATTTATCAGGAATATCTCGTCCATCAGACACCAGGTTTCATCTTCGTTCTCTTTCTCTTTGGTACCTGGGTTGGTCAGCAGGTATTAGAGCTACTAATAATAATTTGATAATTCTCAGACAACTATTCAGGTTATAATAATTTGAGCCATTAAGGGCATAACCACCAAATTCCCTCCAGCCAGAGGCCCACCAGCGTCTGCCTCCCTGCCCCTCCCTCCGGCAGGAAGGTTGCTGGGTGCCTAGCGCAGAGTCTGTGTTGGAGGAACGTAAGGATCCCAAGAGCAATTTGAAGCTTCAGGGAAAGTGCTTAGAGATAGAATTTGGCTCCTTTGGCTCTAGTCCAGCCGTGGGCAAACTACGGCCCGTGGGCCGGATGCGGCCCATTTGAAATGAATAAAACTAAAAAAAAAAAGACCATACCCTTTTATGTAATGATGTTTACTTTGAATTTATATTAGTTCACACAAACACTCCATCCATGCTTTCGTTCCGGCCCTCCGGTCCAGTTTAAGAACCCATTGTGGCCCTCGAGTCAAAAAGTTTGCCCACCCCTGCTCTAGTCCCTGGTAAGACTTCCTGAGGCCGGGGAGCCGGGTGTGTTCGGAGAAGAGGAAGCAGGCTCAGGAGCTATGCCCGGGTGCTCTCATGCTGCGGGATGAAACCTTACTTAGTAGCCATATTAACTGAATCCTCACTTCCTGTGGATTGATGGGATTCATGTCGGAATATCCCCGCACTGTTGGAGATGTCCCTTCGCTGATTGCCTCTGCCTTCCAAAATAGGGACTCTTACTTTCATTGCTGGATTGTTTGCCATTTGCTCATTCATTCATGCATTTATTCACTCTCTCAGTTATTCCACATAAGTCTATTTAGAACTTTCTATGTATTGTGCACTATATTTGTCTCCAAACTTGACCTTGATTGATCATTGACTACTATATGCCAGCTACTATATGCCAGGCACTGTTCTTTTTAAAAAAAAAAATTTTTTTTTTATTGACTTCAGAGAGGAAGGGAGAGGGAGAGAGAGATAGAAACATCAATGATTAGAGAGAATCATTGATCGGCTGCCAGGAGGGGATGGAGCCTGCAACCCGGGCATGTGCCCTGACCAGGGATCGAACCGTGACCTCCTGGTTCATAAGTCAATGCTCAACCACTGAGCCACACTGGCTGGGTTGTTCTTGAGTGATTTACCTGAACTACCTTTAATTTCCAAAAGTCCTTTGAAAGCAGAGGGTTTTCTCCAGCTGGAACCAGAGGGGAAGGTCAGAGAGATTCAGAGCACAAGAAGGGCTTGAGCTGCTGCTGCTGGCTTCAAGGTGTAGAGCAGCGGTTCTCAACCCGTGGGTTGCAACCCCTTTGGCGGTCGAACGACCCTTTCACAGGGGTCGCCTAAGACCATCCTGCATATCAGATATTTACATTACCATTCATAACAGTAGCAACATTACAGTTATGAAGTAGCAACGAAAATAATTTTATGGTTGGGTCACAACATGAGGAACTGTATTTAAAGAGCCAGAAGGTTGAGAACCACTGGTATAGAGGGTGTGTGGCTAGGAATGCAGGTGTTGCTCAGAAGCTGAGAGTGCCCTGCTCTGCAGCCCACAGCCACCAAGGAAATGGGGACCTCAATCCCACAGCTACAGAGAAATCAATGCTGCCAACAATTTGAATGAGCTGGAAAGCGGGTCTCCCCGGGGCCTCCTGTTAGGAGCTCAGCCCAGATGGCACCTTGATTTTGGCCTCGTAGAGGCCCCTTTGCAGAGAACCCAACTGAGCCCAGTCAGACTTCAAACCTCCACACTGTGGTACAGGAGGTGGGTATTGTTTTAAGCAGCTAAGTTTGTGGTATCTGTTAGGCACCAGTAGGAAATGATTACAGCTCTCATCATTACTGCTGCGAATAGACTCATTTCGTTCTCATGATAAGCCTATGTTTTTCTCTTTGGGTTACAGGTCAAGAAACTGAAATTCAGAGAAGATACCTATTCAAGCCCACAGAGTTTGGAAGGGGGGCAGAGACAGATACAAACAAACCTGCTCTTCTGACCACGGTTCTGATGCCTTCCTGCCTGTCCGCGCAGCCTCAGTCCAGGGCTCAGACATCCCCGTGGTGAGTGCAGCCTGTTCCCTCTCTCCCTGCCACCCTCTGGCATTACAATAAGGGACACACGATATTGGAGGAAAAAGAGGGACAGTGCTGTCCCATACAGAACCCAGTGTGAGTAGAAACAGCCCTGGAGCCAAGAGCAAGGTGAACCTGTGGCACCACAGACGACAGAGAAGAGGGAAGGGGTGTGGAAATGGAGGCGCCATCAAAGCAGAGAAAATAGGGACCATATTAAGGTCAGGACGTTGGGAGTTTCTAGTTTTTAATCTGTTTTCATGGTCAAAGATGCACCCCCAAAGGCCCAAAGCCACAGCAGTCACTGCATGTGCCACAGGCTCTGAGTCTTCCAGAGGCTAACGCACCCTCAGCCGCCCTCTGACAGCTGTCACGCACTGTGGGCACGGATCCCTGCCTGCCGCACCCACCGGGCTGTCTCTTCACTGTGCTGTCCTTGGGGTCAGAGGCCGCGCACCCAAGCACTTTTTCCTGACCCTCCACGCACTGCTGCTGCCTCCCCTTTCGGGGCAGCCCCAACTGCATTGTAGAGAAAGATTGTGCTAAAGAAAAATGACCAGACTCTCAAGTCTGACTTCCTGAGCATTTTTGTAAATCAGATCTGTCTCTTCTTTTTATGATTCTGATATTTTTTTGCTCATTACAGAAACTTTGAGAATACAAAAAGGAGAAAGAATAAAGTGAGAAAGAATAAAGTGAAGACTACATAGAAACAGTGGTTGTTCATAGTGTTTTCCTCTAAGTTATTTTTGTAAGGAATATACAAAAATATACAAATATGCAAATGTATAACTAAAAATATTTTTAATGGAATTGGAAGCAGATTGAATCTACTTTTTATATCCAACTTTTTACTTTGTAATATACCATCAATTCTTTTCCAGGCCATTGACTACTCTTTGAAAGAATGTCTTTATCAGCCACATACAATTTAATCAGGTGGTTATAAGATAATTTATTTGATTATTTTGCTTATTTGGGGGCATTAAAATCCTTTCCAGTTTTTCCAGTAATATGCATACCACTTTGCTCTATATCCTTGTACAATTGCTGAATATCTGATCATTTCTCTATGATAAATATAAAACCATGGGGTTACGAGGCTAGGATGGTTAATTTTGTCAATTTGAGCAGGCCTGGGGGTGCTCAGATTAAACATTCTTTCTGGGGATGTCTGTGAGGGTGGTTCTGGATGAGGTTAGCATTTGACTTCTGGGCCCAGGAAAGTAGATGCCCCCAATGTGGTGGCATCATCCACTCCACTGAGGCCCTGGACAGAACCAAAGGCAGGGAAGGAGGAATGTGCTCCCCCCTTTTCTGTCTCATTGTGTGAACTCTGAGAGCATCTTCTACCCTCAGACTAGGATGCACATACTCGGCTCCCAGGGTCCTCCGGCTTCTGGACTCCAGCTGAGGCCTCCAGGTTGCAGACAGCAGACAGAGGAACTTCTCAGCCTCCATAACCATGTGAGCTAGTTCCTCACAATAAATCTCCATATATATACTAGTATATATATACTAGTATAAGTACAGTGGTCGGCAAACTCATTAGTCAACAGAGCCAAATATCAACAGTACAACGATTGAAATTTCTTTTGAGAGACACATTTTTTAAACTTAAACTATATAGGTAGGTACATTGTTATTAACTTAATTAGGGTACTCCTAAGCTGGCCTTTGCTAAAAACATCCTCAATTTGATTGAGATATGTTCGCTGATGTCGAACTTACCCCTTTCAACTCTCCCATCCTCAACTCATGCATGAATTGAGCGGGCCTCTCCCTGCGCTGCGTATCCCATGGCCCGCCTGCGGGGGTCTCCCATCGCCCGACCGACCGACCGACCGACACCCCCCACTTCTAACGCCACTTCTTCAAAATAGACTCGCCCAGGCTGAAAACCGACTTCTGCGCATGGGCCACGAAGTTTCAATTGCACTGTACGTGAGCGCCTGCACGTGGTATTTTGTGGAAGAGCCACACTCAAGGGGCCAAAGAGCCGCATGTGGCTCGCGAGCCGCGGTTTGCTAACCACTGTACTAGTAGATATAGATATAGGTATAGGTTTAGGTATAGATATAGATATAAAATATATATATAGATATTTCATTAAAGAACCCAGACTCATACATAGGCTAAAAGGTCTAAATAATTTAGGGTTTGGCTATGACAAAGTATTTTCTAAAAAGACTGTATTTGTCCTTCCACACTCTTGCTAATGTAATGTGTTACACAGTTTCAAAAAATCCCTGTCAATTTGAACTACAATATCTCCCCTTTAACAGCATTCTGTCTGCCCTGGACTACTTTTTCCTTTGACAATTCTTCCACATTGTCTTGTTCCAAACACCCCCTCGACCCCCCAACATCCACTGGCCTCACTCAAATGTCTCCAAGTAGAAAAAAAAAGACTCTTTCTCTACATATCTACATTTGTTTATCTATAAAGATAGCCATATGCATGTTCATGTAGTTGCACAGCACATATATCAAATGAAGATCAGATGCCAAGTAATGTTTACTTCAAAAGAAAAAACAAAGGGTATTTTTCTAGAGCTCTAAATCTGTGTGTGTGTGTGTGTGTATCTCTATATATTTATATCATTTTTCCATTAACTGTTTGTGTCCAAACTCCTGGTTCACAGCCAAGAGCAGCAGTGTCATTTAGCTGGATCTCTTTGGTGAAGAGGAAAGAAAGAAAGCAAAACTGGCTGAGGATATACCACGTGCCTTTGTATTAGACTCTGTTTTGTGCATTATTTTCTTAAGCCACATGAGGTGTTCTTTTCTACATTTCCGTGTCCAGAGAAATCAATGTCAACGTTCAGAAACTTGCCAAGGCCTGTGACCAGGACTGCAATGGGCAGAGAGAAGATTTGAACCCAGGTCTGTGTGCTCCAAGTCCCATGTTCTAATGTCACTGAGTCCCGCCACCAGTTCCTCTAGAGCAGGCCCTGCCACAGACCACTGCCCACAGCAGGGCCCGGACAGCACGCCTGTATATTGGTTTTTCCTCCTTGCTGTCCAGAGTCCCCACCCCCTCTCTTCTGCTCCTTTCAGCTCTCCAGTGCCCAGTGCAGCCTCTGCTCTTAGGGGTCTCCAAGGGGGACATTTACTGACAACACCCGCAGCTTTGGGATGACCCCGTGGAGCAGGGCACTGCCCAGGGGTGGGCTTTCGTGTGTCCTGACTTCAGGTCGCCCAGAGGCAATTTCAGTGTGTCCCGCAGAGACAAACCTCTCCTGGGAGCGACACCTGCCCGCAGAGCTTTCGCCTTCCTCACAGATGGGCCCACGCATGACCGCGAGTGAGTCACAACTGAAAACGGGAGACATCTCCCCCGGCTGCTGGGCTCCGGGTCCTCAAACCACATTTATGTTTTTATGTATGTGTTGGGATGATTCAGCGGAAACTTCTGGTCAAACGGATCACCATAGCAACTTTCAATAGGCATCCAGCATGCAAATTAGAGAGTAGAGAGCTACTTTCTCAATAGCCCCAAACCCTCATCCTCTGAACCTCCATGGATTGAACCCTAGACACTTTGAAGGTGTAATGCAGAGTCTGCTTAAACGCGCGTTGGCGCCTGGCCCGGTCTGCTGGTATCTTCAGACGTCCAGATGAGAAAAACAAACTCCTTCAGTGGTTTCTACACTGAATTCTTCATCTCACAGGGAGACATCTACACAGGAGCTGGGACCCTGGGGTCCACATGTTCTCTGTATCCTTCCTCAGCCTCAGGATGGTGGCCAAATCATGAAAACTCCCTGACCCTCAGATTGTCATCTGTAAAATGGGGATAAAATGCTTGTTTACTGGAGACCTGGTGTGTCGAGCTAGTGATTAGAAAATGCTTTGCCTGGATTAATCTCTCCATACATGATAGTTACTGCCAAAATCCTCTTTGTACCATCTGAAGCCCGCTTTCTCTCTCTCGGCCTCAGCCTTTGATGCAATGCCAGTTCCATGGAGAGTGTGGTAAATGCCAACACGCTTCAGCTCTCAAGGGGTCCAGGAGTTGCTGAGAAGAGGGTAAAACGAGGTCTTGGGCATTAGGCAGGGTTGAGGTCAATTGGGTTCAAATTAATCTTAATGGAGTCTTCTCATTTAAAAATGAAAGTCTGTGGTACACAGACTTCAACTTACAAAGCAAATAGGATGTTGGAGAAAAGGAAGCTGTTTTATTGAGACATTATTCACTGAATCAAAGAGGAGTGCTTTCGGCTATAAGCAACAGAATAACCGATTAACAAAGAAATAAGCAAATGAACAAAGAAGAGTGAATCCTCTCTCTCTCTCTCTCTCTCTCTCTCTCTCACACACACACACACACACACACACACACATATGCACACACACAGTTCTGGAAGTAGTTGGCTGCTCACATTAATTCAGTGACTTAGTAATATCAAGGTCATCTCTACAGTCTTCATGTCATTTCCTTCTTACTGTCACTTCAGCTTCCTAAGGCAGCTGCTAGAGTTCCAGCCATCATGTGTGCATTTCAAACAGGAAAAGAAAGAAAACTGACGGTACCATTGGAATACTTACATCTTATTTATAAGAAATGAGTCATGTGGTCATTCCTAGCTACAAGAGTATTTGAAGAGTGATTTTTCAAATTTATTTATTTATTTATTTTTTTAAAAAAATTTTTATTTCAGAGAGAGGAAGGAAAAGGGAGAGAGAGAGAAACATCAAGGATGAGAGAGAATCATTAGTTGTCTGCTTTCTGCATGCCTCATACTGGGGATTGAACCCACAACCCAGGCATGTGCCCTGACTGGGAATCGAACCATCATCTCCTGGTTCATGGGAATACACTCAACCACTGAGTCACACCAGCTAGACTAATTTTTTTTTTCCAGATTTACCAGTTTCTGTAGTAGATATAGAGCAAAGGAGTTCAGGCAGTCAATATATAGTACCTGACACATTCCCCTTAGGTTTATTTATTTGAGAACTATCTATTTAAACTAGAGGCTCGGTGCACGGAATTTGTGCACAGGGAGGGTCCCTAGGCCTGGCCAGCCATCAGGGCTGATCTTCCCTGGCTGCCTGCAGCTGGCTCCGCTCCCTGCTGCCGACACCGGTTGCCCTCTGTGTGTGGGGCGACCAACGGGGTGATCGGGCCTGCTCACTTGCAACCACCTTGGCCTGGCGCCACCTGCATTGCTGCTGCCTACCCCCAGTTCCCTGTTGCCCATTGGGAAATCAGAGCCTGCCGGAGTGGGGGAAGGACCAAGAGGTTGGCCGGCAGGCCCTAATTGGGCGATCAGGGCCTGTGGGCTGGGGCCAGGTTCTGCATTGAGCATCTGCCCCCTGGTAGTCAGTGTGCGTCATAGCGACTGTTTGTTCTGCCATTCGATCGATTTGCATATTAGCCTTTTATTATATAGGATATGATTTGAATGATTTGACTTTGCAGAATTATGATATAATTTTAGAATTAGGAAAGTAATTCTTCTTCTAAATCTGAGTTTAAACATGAGTACCTCTTTGGCTGCTTCTTTGAAGCCCCAGGAGATGGTCTTGTGCCTTCCTTCAAAAATCACAAGGCAAATAGCTACCAATTGGCTGTCATTTCATAAGCTCTCAGGTGCATGGCACCGGGGGAGGTCCTGCAGAGGAACACAAAACTACACACAAGCCACAGTTTCTGAGCTCAAAACTCC